GCTCCTGTCCTCGCAGCCAAAGTGATCAAAGGTGTGGAGGTCACTGTGGGCCACGAGCAAGAGGAGGGTGGCAAGTGGCCTTACGCTGGAACTGCGGAAGCCATCAAAGCCCTGGGCGCCAAGCACTGTGTGAAGGGTGTGACCATATCCTTTCCAGCAGCTGGCCAGTGTGGTTGCTATCAGGTAGCACATCAGGTTTACCTCCAGTTGGTCATCTAGGGTATCGAGGCAGGCAGCCATCCCCACAGGAGTTATATTTTCTGGTCTTACTTACGGGAACCCCTGGGCAGGGGGACAGGGCCAGCCAGTGTCATGGGGCATGGCTAGCTTGTCTGCCCCAGGCATGCTGGCAGAAAGCTGGCTCCTCCCTTGGCTGAGTGACCGTGTTCCTGCACCCCCTGAGACCTGTCAGCCCTGAGTCAGCCTGGAGCATATGGCTGGGATGCCTGATCCCCCCCCCTCCCAGAATAGGTGGCCCCAAAGGCTGGGGCAGGACTCGGGGGCCTGGAAGGCTAGGAGCTGCTTGAGGGTAACCATAGAACGAAACTAGAGCAGTGTGGGTAGGTGGGCAGGGCTCCTGGCTCTGGTGGGCCCCTCAGTTTCCACAGCTGGAGCTGGCTAGGCTGAATTTTACGTCCCCATGTGGGGCCAGCATGCAGGCTGTCATCAGGGACTGTTCCACCCCCAGATCACAGTTCTTCCTCCTGATGAGCACCCATGAGTCAGAAGCTAGCTCCTCGTACAGCAGGTGCAGACATGTTGGTGTGACATCATCAGGCAGCAGGGGGCCTGCAGGACTGAGGGTGGGTGGGCAGGGCTCTTCCCGTGCAATGCCCATGGTCCTGCCTAGTGCTGGATTTTCTCTAACATCTCCCCACGAAGCTCATGTAGACCAGAAAAACAAAGTGGTCACCACCCCGGCCTTCATGTGTGAGACCGCGCTCCACCACATCCACGACGGGATCGGGGCCATGGTGAAGAAGGTGCTGGAACTCACGGGAAAGTAACGCCACCCAGACCACGGACCACGTTTGGCCTCCATTGCTGTGGCACGCTCAGCCTGTGTGTGCGCTCCGCTCTGCCAGGCCACAGGAGCTGCTTTTCTGTTAGAAGCATAGACACATTCTGCCTGAAGGAGGAGCTTTGCCTCTGTTTGTCCAGTGGGCTTCTACCAGCAGGAAGCCCCGAGTCCCTCCATGGGCCCCGAGGAGCAGCAGGGGCTTCATGGGGGGTGTGGGGCTTGCCTCACTGTGTCCCCCCCAGTGGAAGGTCTGAGTACCTTTTTCCAGAGCCTGGTTGAAGGACTTCCATTCTACGGTCCTAGGTCTGCTGGATCAGGGTACGAAAGCTAAAAAGAAAACAGTTTAGGTTATAAGTTGTCTGATGATCAGAGGCACCTTGTTTATGGATAAAGAAATGCTCTCTGGTCCAGAGTAAACACAGCTAACTAAAGCCAGGGGAATTCTGTAGTCGGTCCCTGTGGCTACAGAATAAACTCTTTTCCACAATGGAAACTCCTTTCAGCCATGTCTCAGACCTTCTGAAACTAGTGAAAGGCACATGAGGTGTCGGAATCTCTGCTCTGAGTTTTAAGGAAACGGGAGAAGTCACCAATTGTGGGCCCCCGGAAGGGCCTGCTGGTTGGGTCTGGGAAGCTGTCCCAGGCCGTGAGATTGTATAACCTGAGTTAAGAAGGAAAGTAGAGGACAGTAGTTCCCTGGTGGTCCCTTGTGGAGAAGGGTCAGACTGGTCTGACAGAGGTCTGTGTACACCTCTGTTCCAGAACATTCTCTTCTGGAGGGCCAGGCAGCCTGGGTCCCTTGGCCTCGGTGGCAGTGACCACGACAGCACTGGACTGAAAGGCAGCCGCTCCTCTAACTCAGTTGTCAGATGCTGGGCAGAAACAGGATTAGGCCAGGCAGAAAACCTCCGTAGCTAGCTCTCCCAGCGTGCACACCCATGTGCACACATACACAGAAACTGGCCTGCAAGCCATGGAGAGAATGCCTCTTGCTTTCTAAAGACTGATTTCTCCGGGGACTTTGATACTTGATGCTCTGGATCTCTCACCAGGACCTATGTATAGCATGCGCACATGGTGCCTGACCTACTGGTCAGATAGCCCTCTTCTGGAGAGCCCAAAGAGCTTGCTCCTAACTGAGGTGGGAAGGCCAAGGCCAGGGCTGCCCTTCCCTCAGCAGAGGACCTATTGAAGCCTCGTGTATGTATCCACCCTCACTTAAGTGAGTTTCCACAGTGAACCACAGAGCCACCACAGCCCCACCCTCATCCCCCCCCCCCACACACACACACAAAAGTGCCTGCTTCAGTCCACCCAAGGCCGTCCAGGGGACAGCTCCTGCCCTGTGATGTGTGTGGCTCAGCTGTGACAGCACAGCCTCCCCCATCCCCCTGCCTGATGTTTTTGCTTCAGCCTCCTGTTAACCTGTCAGGCCGCCCAGCTCTGCTGAGTTGGCATTAGTCACCTCTCCCCTGTGGCCTTGGCAGAGTATCTGTTGATTTCACTGCCCGACCTGTGTCTTTTCTTTGGCAGGTGACTTAGAAATCCTTCGTTTGGTAAGCAGCACTCATGGGCTTTCTATCCAGCTCCTGTTCTCTCTGGGGGCCTGGTGGGCAGACATGCTCCGGTTTGCTTCTGGGGAAGAAGCATCCACCTCATCACAAAACCACATCCTCCCCATGCAGACCGGAAGCTGCTTGGTCACGTGCCGTGCCGTGCTAGCCTGGCAGAAAAGAGCACAGTGGCCTCTGAGCGTCCCAGAGGGCCCACTCCTCCCATGCGGCCTGAGTGTTCTTAGATGTTGCAGGAGTGCACGGTGCACAGGTAGAACCCGTTTAGGAATGGCTGCTGCCCAGTTGTCCTTTCTCATGTCCGCCTCACACCACAGATAGCTGAGAGGGAAGTGAAGCCAGGAGAGACCGCAAGGGGAAGGTCAGTGCCATCAGCCGCACGTGCTGCGCCATGCACATCTTCCCTGGCTTCCCACAGAAGTGACCAAGTGTGACCAGCACACTGTGCTTGCCCAGTGCCTCACCAGTGTAAATCACATCCTTGTGGTGTTGGCCTGGACCGTCCCAACTTGACAGGCGATGACCACAGATCAGCTTAGCTGAGCCCAGACGGAACTATTCTGGACGATGTTTTTTGGGTGGTTAGGAAGCCCTCAGCAAGGTCTGATGCAAGAGGTTAGCTGTTGACATCTAGAAATGATTGAGTCCCCACTGTATGCCAGACACGGTCCATGTGGGAAGACCATGATCCCTGCCATTGTGGAGCTAGCATTGGCTTATTGGCAGAGAGCCTGGGGGTGCGAGTGGACTCATGGACAGGGAGGTGAGAGAATGGGTCAGAGACCAACCAAGAAAGGAAGCAAGCCAGGATGCGTGAGAGGGTGTGGCCCTGAGAGCCAGATTCTTGGAGCAGGTCCTGTCCACCCAACCCATTAGCAAGGCTGTAGTTCTAGGTACCACCACCAGGGGGCACAGCAGACCAGCCTTGGAGCCTTCTGATTGTTCCCAGAGCTTACCAAGGCCAAGGGCCCGCTGAGAGGCCAGCTGCCTACACCCCTACACCTTACCGTCTTATGAAGTTCTTCTGGGAACCTCCAGTGCCTCTGTCTCCCAGATCCACTTCACAGGCAGCTCCATCGAAGCCAGCAAATCTTGAGATGAGGGTGTACTGCTGACTTAGTAAGTGGGGCTCCCACTGCCTCCACGGGCAGCACCTGCTCCGTGTTTTCTCATCCTTACCCCCCCACACACACACACACACACGCACCCCCGACCTGCCCCAGCCACCCTGAGCACTGAGCGCCTGCCTCCTCCTCCCTGCCTCTCCCCCTTTCGGGACCCTTGCACCTCGGCCCTGGCACCCTGATTAGGGGTGGTAAGGGAAGGAAGAAAGGACAGACGCACGTAGAGGAAAGTCGGGGTCCAGTGTGGGTACGCACACTTTTAGAGGGCGTCTACAGCAGCCTGGGACTTCATCACGTCTATTAGAACAGCACAGCAGGTAGGGTTAGCTAGCCTCGGGTAGAGGTCTCTGTAGGCGGGCAATCTCAGGCTGTAAACACCTGAAGAGGAAAGCCACGTTCGCTAGGGTTTTGTACATTCTGATCAATCATTCATCAATGCTCATATCTGGGCTCCAAAAGGAGTTTTGCCAACCCTCCTGAGGTGTTGAGTGAGCGATCCATACTCGAGAAAGGGTGGTAACATACTCGAGAAAAGGTGGGACTCAGGGAAAGGGTCCAGCTCGGAGTCTTCAGGAAGCCCCTCCCCGAGGGCGGAGTCCTGAGAGTGACACGGGCACCTGCTAATGCCTCAGCCCCACAGGAGAGGCAAAGCCTTACCCAGGTTGTGTGCCTGAAATCCCAGCACTCAGAGGCAGTCAAGAGAATCAGAAATTTCAGATCATCCCCTGCTACATAGTGAACCGGAGGCTAGCCTGGACTACATGAGACCGTCTCAAAAAAAAAAAAAAATCACCTACCTTTCGTCTTCTGTGATTAACTGGGGCTTTCCAAGTTTTGCATTTTACATTTAGGTTTGTGATCCTATTTGAATTAATGTAAAGGGTGACAAGCCTGTGTTATATTCTTGTCTCTCTTTTTTTTTTCTTTTTGCATATACATGATGGAGGTTTGGTTTTTTATTTTTATTTTTTATTTTATTTTATGTGGATTGACGTTTTGCCTCCGTGTACACCTGTGTGAGGGAGTCAGCTAGCCTGGAACTGGAGCTACAGACAGTTGTGAGCTGCCATGTGGGTGCTGGGAATTGAGTCCCGGATCCTCTGGAAGAGCAGCCAAGGGCTCTTAACCACTGAGCCCCTTAGGTGGTGATTTGAATGAGAAATGTTCCCCATAGTCTCAAGTATTTGAACACTTGGTCCCTAGTTGGTGGTGGTGTTTGGGAAGATTATAGACCCTTTAGGAGATGCTACCTTCCAGGAGGAAGTACATCGTGGGGGGGGGGGAGAGCGCTTTGAGGGATCATTGCCTCTGACCATTTCCTGTTTTCTCCACCTAATGAGTGTGGATGCAAAGTGACCAGCCCGTCTCCTGCTCTGACTGCCTACTGAACTGATAAGCCAAAATAAACTCTAATGGGGGGAGGGTTTTGTGAGGGTGGGGCTGGGAGGGGCGGGCTTCATTCCGGATGTAGAGTAAATAAATAAATTAATGAAAAGTGTTCAAAGAGTGTCACAGTGTTATATCCGGAAACAAAATGAAGTAACTAATGTAGATTTCCACAAACAGCTCTTTTGGAAAGACCTCCCCTGCCTCCCTGCGGTTGCCTCCGTCCCATTGTCAAGGTTGGCTGGCCTTTACCAGAGTCTCCCAATGCTTTATTTACCAAGACTCTCTCTCAGTCTATGGCAGTCACCCCACCACTGTTTCAACTAGACCTCGAGGCAAGGCTCCAGGTTAGGTCCTGCTGCTCCTTCTGTTTCGGTTTCCTTCTTCGGCAACTCGTAAAATGTTTCTGTACACACTTTGGAAGAGATCATTGTAAAATAACTTGCTGGGGTTCCAGCTGGGACTGTGCCAAGTCCACAGATGTGTCAGCAGGATCCTCACCTTGACAATGAAACTGTAGCAGCCTTCCTGACCTTTGAATTCCAGCTCTTTGTTGTTGGCCTATAGGAAAGAAATTGACTTTGTATTTTGCAACTTTCCTATGTTGCTTATTGGTTCCAGGAGAGGTAGGTGCGTGTGTGTGTGTGTGTGTGTGTGTGTGTGTGTGTGTGTGTGTGAATGTATGTGTTTGTGTGTGCTTGTGAGTGTATGTGTGAGAATGTATTTGTGTGTGTGCACACGCGTGTGAGTATGCGTGTGAGTGTGTGTGTATGTGTGAGTGCGTGTTGGTTTTCTACAAAGACAAGCATTTCATCTACAAAGAGAGTTCCCAATCTGTATCTTTTTTTTTCCTTTTCTTGTCTTACTGCACTGGCTAGAACGTCCAGTGTGATGCTGAAGAGGAACGATGAGAGGGGTGTCGCTGTCTAGTTTCACACCATTAAGTGATGCTAGCTGTCTGTGCTAGCATCTCTTCAGATGTCTTTTACTGAGTTAAGGAAAGTCTCCTCTAGTACTTGTTAGTGTACAGGCAAGTCCACCGGCCTGCTCTCAGGGACCTAGCAACTGCTTACGTCATCACCCACCACACCTCCCGCTGCCTGGTGCACCTGGTGTTTGCTGATGATAAAAGGATTACCAGCGGGTGCTCTCTCCCTCTCCCTCTCCCGGGGGGCGGGCGCCGCCCCCCCGCCTCCCCGGGGGTGACCCTCTCTCCCTCCTTCCCACCCTCTCGCTCGCTCGCGCTCTCTCTCTCTCCCTCCCCCCCTCCCGCTCTCTCTCGCTCGCTCGCTCTCCCCTCCCCCTCTGTCTGCCCGTCTACAAGTCCACGTGTGTACCTCTCCCCCAGGTCCCCACTCCCCTCCCTTCCCCCCAGTAAACCTCTTTTGCACCAGATCTGTTGCATGGCCTAAGTTCTTAGGGGAACACCTTGGCACGCGTCCACCAAAAGTACACCCCTGCTGCATATTTTTTATCCTAACACTCATACCGATACGACTTTCTTCTTTATCCTCTGATGTGGATGATATACCCGAGATTCCTGGCACTGGAGCAGCCGTTCACCTCTGGCCAGTCTCCTTGGTCATTGATGTGTAATTTCTTTCCTCCACTGTTGACTTGAATTTGCTAAAGCTGCTGAGAACCTTCCCCATCCCTCCGTGAGAGCGGATGGTCTGCAGTTTCTGTCTTCTGTAATGTCTGTCTGGTTTTGGTATGAGGGAAACACAGGCCTCACAGAGGAGCAAGGGCACATTCCTTCTGCTTTTGTCTTCCAAAAGCGATAGTAAAAAATTGCATTATGTCCTCTCTAAGTGTAGGGTTGACCAGTGAGCCTCTGGGCCTACGGGGCTGGGTCTTTCGGTTTGGATGGTTGATAGTATCTTCAATTTCACAGTCAGATACATAGATACCTAGATAGGTAGATACCTAGATAGATAGATAGATAGATACTTCAATTTCAGAGAGAGAGAGAGAGAGAGAGAGAGAGAGAGAGCGCAAGATAGATACACAGATGGATGGATGGGTGGATGAATGGATGGATGGATACCTAGATAGATACACACATAGATAAATGGATGAATGTTAGATACATACATATATGTACACATACACAAATGGGTGAATGGATTAATGGATACCTAGATAGATATATACACAGACGGACGGATGAATGAATGAATGATTGATTGATGAAACCTTTGTAGACTGTCTCTTCTGGGTGAGTTTTGCAGGTTGTATCTTTCAAGAGGTTGGTCCATTTCACGTATTTTATGCCAGCTATGGATGCAGTGTTCACAGTCCATTGTGACCCCATTCCTATTCCTGGTGCTGCTCTTAGCCTGCCTAGAAACTGAATGATGGCATTGATCTTTTCAGAGAGCCAGCTTTAGGCTTTATAGATTCTGTTTTCCCTCCCTCCCTCTCTCCCTCTCTCTCCCTTTCTCCCTCTCTCCCTCTCTCCCTGTCTCCCTCTCTCCCTCCCTCCCTCCCTTCCTTCCTTCTTCCCTTTCTTCTCTCATTTTAGATTTAATTTACTGTCTTTTATCTGGTATCCTGAGGTGTCCGCTTAGGTTCAGTCTCCTCTGATCTGCACATCCCAGGACAGACGTCCCCTCCCCCGCCCCAGTCAGGACAGACAACCCCTCCCCCGGCCCAGTTTTCCCTGCATCCCACAACGGTCCTTAAGTTCCATTTTCATTTTCACTTAGTTCGAAATGTTTTTAAAATTCTCTCCAGATTCTTTGACCTATGCGTTATTTATAAGTGTGTTTTTAATCTTCAAGTGTTTTGGGGGGGATTTTCCAGCTATGGAATTGAATTCCATCGTGGTCATCTGAGGATATACCATGTACAGTTTGTATTCCTTCGGGGGTGTTTGCGGTTCAGAATGTGGTTTGTACCGATGGATGGTCCCTGAGAACCAAAGAAAAAAATGCACGCTCTGCTACCACCGGGCACAGAGCTATCTGTTTCAGCCGATGAAGTTGCTGACTTCAACACTGTCCTTACCAACTTCCTTTCTGCTGGGGAGGCACTGAAGTCTTGGCTATAATCGTGGACATATCTGCTTCTCCATGTGGTTCTGTCAGCTTTGCCTCGTGGCTTGACCCTGTTACACATGTGTGCATCCTTCTAACGTGCTAAGGATTGCTGTATCTTGGTGAGACTGACTTACCCCTAACCCTTTATCATCATGGAGGACCATTTTTTCCCTGATACACCCCTGCTCTGATGATGGCTCTCTCTGAAGTCATTGATGTAACTACAGGAGGCGCATGTGCTAGTGAACATAGGAAGATGTTTTTGTCTGTCTAGTTCTCTTTCTATCATTGAGGCTGACTTTGTTGCCTGCAGCATTATAGGCTGGTGCTTCTCCACACTTACCATGTTCCCCACACTGGGTCCCTGGCAGGATATTGGGGCCCCTAGCTGATTCCCACCTGGAACCTGGCTGATGGCAAGAGCTGTTTTTGTGGCTTCAGCTCCTGGCACACCATGTGGCTTGTTCTGTCCTGAGACTGCTCTTAACCTGAGCTCAAGTCAGACCAATTCTGTCAGTTCTCAAATGGGGGACCTGGCCTTTGCTGCCTGGAACTGCCTCAGGGCTACAGAATGGAGGCCCCCCTCTTGGACTCTGATGTCTCTCAG